CCTTAGTGATCATATTCACCACCAGAACTTACAAAAATGCTTTGGAGGAGGGATGTATAATTCTTCAGATTTCACAAATACAGAAAATGTCGCACTACTCTGAACTTGTAGTAGTTGGAAGCGTCTAACTGCCAAAATTGAGAGAGTATAATATCTTAGGTGAAAATGAAGTTCTGGAAAATTTGCCACTGAAACTGAAGACCGATCTGGCGTTGGCGATTCATTATGAAACTATGAAGAAAGTAAAACTTTTCCAGGTATCTGTATCTTTTGTCTTTTAAGGCCTTTGAAGATTCGTTTGTCTTTTGTGCTAAGAACTAATAGAGTTGACACAGCAATATCTCAAAATGGATGCATACTGGAAAGATGAATAGTTCCAAATTTCATGATTATAATATTACTCATTTTAATAGTCTTCAAGAAGATGAACGTTCGTATGCCAAAAATATTGGCTTCTCGCATTGTGGCTATGACTCATTCTTTTGATGTAAACTCCCCACTCTGGCAAAATCAGTTGTAGAAGAGCTAGCGAACTTTCCATTAATCAACATGTGCTTACGGTCATTGACAGTGTCTTATGTTCACTTTCTTTTGATGAACGGCTAGTTTATTTGCAGAAGCCAAAGAAATGAAGCATTTCAATGTAATAATCACAAGTTGCTTGTATGAAGTACACAAATCATTAGTGACGTTATAAGCTACAGTAAAATTTTTATTTCTATGAATTATGAATGTTTCTTAAAGGCTTTCATAATGTTATATAGAGCGTTCACTTCTGCAAGTGCTTTCACTCATTTCAGCAACATCAGTCATGAAGGGATTGCTAACATGCGATGAGTGTTCAAATTCCTTCCTTCCAGTTTCTCAGATTTAGAAGCTCTGGTCTGACAGGCACCGCCTATGTCATATACGGCTCTGCACCCCGAAGATGCATAGGTGAAGAGACTTTATGCGAAGCTGCTTCTTGGCAGCGGCTAAAAAATAAATAGAATATTTCCTGTTGTTCAGTGGACTGAAAGCGAGACGCATGACCAATGAGAACTAACATTTATCCTGCATAGTTTTTTTCACAGAAATGTTGAGTTGTTTCCTCTTCTTTGACTCGTACATTTTGATTCTTGTCATGAACCTTGCTTGCAGCGATTTTTGAGTGTCATAGAAGTCAATTCATTCAAATAATCTTCTTCTCCTTGTAACAAGTTTATAAGGCTTATTGCAGCCATATAAAGATCGCATATTACATGTTTGCTCAGTTCAATATTGTCACAGCGTTGCAAGGATCCTGTGATATCTGAGGTGTTTGCAGACAATCAGCTTCCAATCGTTTACTCTGCTTGTTGTTTCGTAAATAAAGTCCTTTTTGGCTGAGGAGAATTATTAGCGAATGGAAACCTGTTGTTGGTTATTTTAATTCCATTTTTTTAAAATTAATGCAAGAATCCGGGCGACAGAATCGCTTGAATTACTATCTTAGCATAGGTAAGTTAATTTGTTTTTCTCTTTGATCAGTGCCAATATAATACAATCAATAGACACTATGAAGGAGCGTCATATTCGAACCATACAGCCAGCAGGTAGAGAAGAGGACAGACAAAAGGTAGTTGTGGATCTCATCACGAAAGCACTGTCGTCCATTAACAGCATAACACTGTCATTTTTGGCAGACCACTTTACACCATCGTTCTTCCTTTGTTTCTCCTCAAAAATTAATTGAACTTCACAAACACACCTCAACAGGTAAATTCGGTCGGTTTAATGCCCAACAGCGGCAGGCACCGTTGTCTTCCATGCAGGCAAAATGCGCATCTGATCTTTCGAACCATACCGTGGATTTATGGTCCCTTGCGAGAGGATCATTAATCTGCCATTGGCGAATGCCCCATATATCGCATCCCCACAGAAATTTCCGTTGACATTAGTCAGCTGTTGCAGTATAATTTGCTTATTTGGTTGAAAAATCCGTGACAAACTTTCAGTCTCAAGTTCGTAAACCTCGATTAGAGAAATGTTTGCTGCTCTGATCGCTCGAAGTCGTTGACTCATAGCTAAGCCAGTTTGAACCATAAAGGCACTCTGTCTGCAATCAGTATCATTGAGCAATAACCATGAAAACGTGTGACCGTGCAAAGGAGAAGTACATTTCAAGTTTACTACTCAGATATGTAACCCCTCATATCATGCTATGGTCAATAAACCACAACCTCCCTTGTACTTATGTTTTAACTGTTTAGATGAAAATTGTGATCAGTCAGCTTCCAAGGTGCTTGCAAGATCTTACTATGTAATCAACTTCATTTTGCAGGACTGTGAGCAAGGACTGCTGCGTTGTCTCGTACTGAAATTCAAGCCTGTTCTGTATCTACCTGGAGATTACGTTTGTCGAAAGGTATCAAAGTTCAAGTTGTGCTTATCAATTTAGATTTTCAAGAAATATTTCACTGAATGTATTTCTTGTTCAAGATTTTTACTAGCAGATTATATATATAGTTAGCTGTCTGCATAAATGGAACGTTTCTGGTTTGTAATATCCTCTGTATCAGCAACTTTTCACCACCGTTGGCGTAAAGCGGCTCCGGTTACTGTTTCGCAGAAATTTTCCTTTCCGAAAGCAGATCTGCATCCAGCTTGTTCCTGCATGCTACACGTGGCTTCCTGATCAATGTTCATGTGCCTCTGTTCTCATGCAAGAAACATACGGAAGATAGTAGAGAGTTTATGCCCAATCAGTTTGCCTAACAGGACCAACCTTCTTTTGCTGAACTCCTCATCTGTAGCGCACTGGGATGTGATCTTTCATTACGTGGCCCCGTCATTTAGCCCTCATTATACGTCGAAGCAACGTTATTGGATGTTGTTCAACAGTCGCTCTTCGCCCTTCTTTAGAACAACTGCTTTCATGTCATGCAACAAGACTGACCTGACTGATGGAATGTACAACAAACAGCTTTGCCAGTGATTCATAAACCGTAATCTCTATCAGAGCCGTAATTTGTCTATCATTGTTTATTCGCCAGATACCCCGCTTATACGGCGTTAATTACCAGCGTTCCTGAAAGTTTTTCTCACTGTCTGCAACCCAACGATGAGCTTGTCCTCATTTATCTGACCTCAGCCAAAGAACCGAACGCATGAGGTTATTCTGGCATGGCGCCATTATATAAATAAGCAGTTTTTGGGGTAACTTTTAGTCTGATTAGGTCGCTGTTTACTGTTTGATTATCTAATTCTTTTCAGAACGAAGTTGGAAGAGAAATGTACATCGTGAATAAGGGCATTCTTCAAGTACTCGGAGGGAAGGATGGTAATACGATTTTGACAACTCTGACGGAAGGTAGCGTTTTTGGAGAAGTGAGGTAATCATCTGTTTTTAGAGATGCGGTTTTAAATTACCCTGTTGTTTAGCTTGCTGGCTTTGTCAGGAGGCAACAGAAGAACCGCTGACGTTCGGTCGAAAGGCTTCTCAAACCTGTTCGTACTCAGCAAAGAAGATTTCTTTGCCACCATGAAAGATTATCCAGAAACCAGAAGACAACTGGAACATAAGGCTCGGTAAGCAAGTTCAGTATAATAAATTATTGAACATTAATCCTATCTTAATATTGCAACCACACCAACGTTGTGGAAGACGGAAAGATGCGGTTTTACTACTAAAAGTATTATTTATTTGCAGATGAACGATGACCTATCCCTTCATAAGGATATACTACCGTTTTGCTTTCCCTTGGGTGGTTCAATTTGTATGGACAGCCATCCTTTCAGAAAGATCGTGTCTTTTAGCTAACGGTAGCTACATTTTGACCCTTTTACGGGTCCAGCCCAGAAGGCGTGAACCTAGTGTGAAGGTGACGTCCGCTTAGACCGTGCATTGGTTTCCTTATTGTTCATCTCATCTCTCTATTTTGAAAATTGTTCGCTTTTTCAGCAGCTGCGCTCATGGTAGGGTTTGTTTACCATATCTGTCGTTTTTACTGATCTAGAGGCTTGAACCTTATCTCTTTTTTTCGAGTTCATTCCGTGTCTAACTTTTTCTTTGGCTGTGATAATAACTCAGAAAGAAAGGTGCATGTCTGCCATACCTCGAGAGACAGTTTTGAACTTTGGTAAAAAAAATCATTCGCCTCCCTCCGGAGACCCTCAGATTGATTCCGTAATTCTAACCCTCGGCGTTGAGCCGACTGGCAGACTTACCTTGAAAAATCTGCAGCTATTTCAACCGTACTTTATCTCATTCATCGCCTGGTCCGTTCAAAACAAGCTAAACGAGATTTAGGCTACGTCGCACCTCAGGTAATTTAATAACGCCTGCATCATCCTCTCTTAAGATTCTCTGCCATCAGATGAAGTAGATGGTCAGGTCGTATCGATCGCCGTCTTTCAGTAATTTCGAGTAAATTGCCTCTCAATAACTCGATTCAGCGATGACGATGGCGCAGTAGTCACTCATATTTAGAAGGCGCAAACCCAAAGCTGAAATATGACTTCCAGTCTGAACTGACAGAACTGGATGTCTTGTCGACCATTTCTGGTGAAGGTTTTTGCCTCTGCACCTGAATCTGATGATCGGAGACATGTATTACTCACCTGATCGCGTCCGACGAACTGGAAGAGTTCAAATATTCGTCTTTCCTCGTTTGTTCATGTGTGGTACAGCAAAATTTGATCGTCATGATACACCCACCAGGTCATCCTACCTTTGCGTGTCTTCTTGAACCGAGCTATTTAGGAAATCCACTGTCCCACCTTCAGCATGAACCCTCAGAGACCCGCAAGCTGTCCATCAGCGCTACTTGGATATTCTAGTGCTGCACTGTTTCAGTCTTGAGTCATATATCCATGAGTTACTCTGTGATTTTTCCCGTATTCATTCTAATCACTGCATGTATTATTTTATTAATTAACTCTCTGTTTTACTCTATTTATTTATTTATCCCACTTTGACCATGCTGAAAAATAGAATTTGCTTAAGTAAAGCTTTACAGGTGAAGAACTCTGGTGGTCTACGCACGATCCTCGATATTCTAGTGCAAAATCACTAGTTCATGACATGAATTCGAAGCTCTAAAATACTTTTGAGAGAGTTCGAAACAACACTCTTAAGACGTCATTCCTTCTGATATTCCTTCTGGGCACTTCTGGCTATTTTTCCTGTTGTGCGGACCTTTGCGAGGAATCAGCAGTCACCTCACATCTCGACTTCTTGTTCCCGTTAGTGATAGATGGTTATTGTAATATTAAGAAGGCACTTTGCCTTCAGTTTGCTAAAAAGTTTCAAACACTTTCAGATTTTGTGTGCAAACATCTTCATCTTCCATCGCTGCTGCTCCTTTCGGGTCACGGAGGCAGGCTCGTCAGACAGGGCTTCCAACGTTCCCGATCCTGTGCCAGAGTCTGAGCTTCGGCAAAAGACAAATGGAGTCTGGAACAGACTCCTTCCATAAGTTTGCACCAGGTTAATCTTGGACGTCCCCTGGGCCTTCTGCCGGTGCAAACATTAAATAGAATAAAATCATAGCGATATTGTTCGAAGAATATTGATGACTGTATTATTTCTGCGGATCTGTTATGCTGTTATGTTTGACTAATTCAACTGAACAGGTTCAGAGGGCGTTTACCAGTCGAAATGCGTGATCACGATGTGCTAAATCTCATTCGAGAAAGTTTCAGCCAACTGAAACACCGATCATCCTGGCAAATATCATTCTGTGACCATTAAGTACAGGTGGACATAGAGAGATTGCATGCTTTTCGTCAGCAAGGTTGGAAAGCATACTGACTTCAACTCTGTTCGCCTACGCCTCAGCTTGGAGCACTCTTTTTCCATATGCTTTGGCTGCTCATACGTTGACTCTGATGCCGATTCTCATCAACTCACCTGGGGACTATTTTCGAGCATTGACGGGAAGTGAAGTCTTCTTGCACTCTTGCGACGGTGCACTGCATTAAGGCAATCGCGAGGTCATCTTCATCCATCCGCTTCACACAGACCTAAAAGCTTACAATTATCATAGGAAAACTTCACCATCATTAAAGCTCAATTTTATTCAAATTTATCTTATTCATTACCCCAGCGGTAAGAGCTGAGTTCAATAGAGAATCAGTGACGCCTTACCTAATTTGTACGATCATGAATCCGCATGCACATGGTGCCATTTTTTGTTTTCCATGAGAATCTCGTCAAAATGTTTCCTTTTTCGTTATTCGAACGCCTCATGCATCATAACGGTCTTTTACGACTATCCTTACGACTCAGGACAATGACTTTCGCAGTACTTCATCCTGCCATGATCTGTCCTATTGTCAGTTATGTTATGGAGAACAAACATTTTACGCCCCCCCCCTTGAGTACGAAGCTTTAATGAAGAACGTTTACATCAGTTTCCATTCTAGCTGATTCCCTTAAAGAACACTTTGAACGTTGGCGATTGCCATTTTTGGAGATGATACATAATTGCACGTTTGAGTGTCAGGCAATTTTTGAAGCTTCGGTTGTCATCACTGATAGCGTTTATTTTTTAGACAACTTATAGCTAGTGAGAAGAAAAAGTTTGCCCGGATAAAGGAAAACAATATCGAAAACGACCCCTGTAAAAAACCGGAACGATGGCACAATGTAATGGAGAAGATAAACTGCTGAACAGTTAAACATGTTGGCGTTCAGTCTAGTTGCACTTTGATTTTAATGTTACGAGTAAACATTAGTCTTCTGTTGCTCTTTGCGCCTAAACATTGTTCATGTGGCAGGCAGAATTCCGGTAGAGCATTTAAATTTAATATACCAGGTTTTATCTGACTGCAACGGTAATCATGACATTTGTAATCATCAAGAAGATGATAAAAAATGATGACGATTGCGTCTATTCTTGAGGTTTGAAAACCTTGTCACCTGCCTGTTCACCCTCTGTGTGCGAAATTAATTAAATTTAGATATGAATTAGTAATGGAGTTAATTTCCTCTCAAACAATTCATAGAATTATTGCGCCAAGCAAACAATATGGACAATCATTTGACGACAGTAGTATACATACATGTGTTGGACAAAGATTTTATGTTTGACATGAAGTCAAATGATTAACATAAGTTTTGTAGCAGTAAATACTGTTGCAAGAATATACCGCTCTTGACCCACGGTATGATGGCATAACAAGCTGCAGGGCGACAAATCAGGAAAGCTGTCTGTGAATTGGTTTCTCGATGGTTGCAAATTATCGTTTGCTCCTTGCCATTGTATTAGGAGTGAAACTTGCATATTACAATGATGGAAACCGAGGCATTACTGTGAGCCTTTCACTCTTAAGAGAGTGCAAATAAAAAATATCTGCAATTGGTTGGGTTATGGAGAAACAGAGTACAAAGCTTCTCAGAGGTCTTCATAAAATCCTTTTAGCGTTCTTTCTGTACTGAACCTCTTAACAATCCTACAGTCCTACTGTAGAAAGACTAGACAGATATTGGTATTTTTTCATTTCGATTGTCACGATCATTATATGACGTCAGTTTAAGAATTGCAATCATTGGCACAGGTTTATTAGATATTGATAGTGTGTTGCTATTCGCAGACCCGTCTTAGCCAGCCACGTCAGACAGAGAGGGTCAGCGACCAATGCAGGGAGTAAAGCATTCTCGTCTGCTAATATGGTCGTAACCCTAAGGCTTTAATTAAACTTTCCTGAGGTTGGCTAAGGAGGCTATGGTAATCAGTAAATGAAGCATTGCATCGTGATATTAAGGAACTAATTTGAAAAAGAAAAAAGGCTCCAAATGCATTCTAATATACACATGTTGTCCTGTCGCTTGCTGCTTAGCATTTTGTTACGGATAAATGCATGAGTGGGGGGGGCGGAATTTGATGGCAATGAATTAAGAGGAAAAATTGACCCACCAGACCAAGATTAAGCCGTGTGACAGGCAGTCAGAGTACTGATCGGATCGGGTGGCTCATCCATGCCTTTCTAAATTGTCAACATTTTCGAACTTGAAATACAGCCTTAGAATCACCCAATTAGCGGAGGACCCTGACCATTGAATAAAGCTGCTAAATTTGCTTTATCAAGCTGCAAAAAACTGCAGGCCAGAAAAATGAATAGGAAGATGGAGGGGTAAGAAAAATAGGAGGAAGTTTGGAAAGGAGTGTCGCAGTGAATAATATTCTAACTTTGAACTTTAGAGGTGAGGGTTCAAATGTTTGCATGGCATAAAACTTCCTTATTGACTTCTAATTTCATTCATCATAGATTTCACCAATTAGGTTTTCACAAAACTCTCCAAGAAATCGGCAGCTAGTCATTGACGTGGGAAAAATATGACAGCACGGTGTTCTAATGTGATCATGCTAGAACAGGTGATATTTATGACCATCCATCCGATAGATGACTAAAAGGTGGAATAAAAAGTGATTCGTAATTTAAATTTAAAAGATTGAAAACTTAGCTAGAAACTATGAAGTAAAACACGTTCTTGCAATACCTTGCTGAATGATTAAGTTCTGAAAAGTATTACTCTTAGAAATAAGTCCATAATTTTGTCAGTCCTCCTGCATCCATCTTAGAAACAGGCGCGTATTGAAGTGAACGGTTGATCGCTGTGATTGGCGCGTAATTGAAGGACAGTCAAATTTATTCCACACTTCATTAGAATCGTAGACGGAGAAACGAGTTACTTCATTAACTGCGCAAAAGGACAAATGACCGAACTAATTGCTCCATCTATCAGCCTCCAAGTTATCTACGTGTGTGGTTTAAAACTAAGATAGAGAGTGTCCTTTTTCTCTTAGATTATTTTATTGTCCTCCATGACTCGTATTGTTTATTGAAAAAAATTTATCACCTCTTCCTCAAATTTTTAGTGTGTTGTAAGAAATCTGTTAGGCGAAGCATCCTCTTCGTCTGCCTGTCTTTCGAAGGTTGTGAAATGCCATAAATTTGTCTATTCATTCTCAGAGGTAAGCGCGGAAGCAATACAGCAAATTCAAGACATGATCATAGACGCTGAAGCATAAAACAGCGTTTCAGTAGAGTCGTACTGTGCTGTACTAAACTTTCACTGCGTGGGTACTGTCTTCAGTTGAGGCTGGGTAAAAGAATAAAGTAGAACTGATGAAAGGAAAGAAGTGGAAACTTGTAGCGTTTGGAAGGCCCGTCTTCCATAAGCTTTTATGATGAGGCTATTTGTGATGCTCTCGTCTTTATTAAAATAATGATAGGAGGCTAACCTCGATTTCCATGTCATTAGCCAACCATATGAACATATACCTTGTATCTTTCCTATAAAATGGTAGTGATTTACTGACCTTTGAAGGATTAAATACGAATACCTTGACTGAAGTTGAACCAGGTACTACTCAGTTCTGAGTCTGACCCTCTACCAAATCAGAAAGCGGAATAATTCTCGTGAAGAATACGACTACACCACTGATCATTGCGTGGCTGTGAAATTTGCTTTTCACTGTCATC